TCAGAGGGAATTCTCTTTAAATTGGGAACTCATGGTTTTTCAAGATTTTCAAATGGAGCACGAATTTTTAACATATGTGTTTGTTTTGTGGGGGTGGTTTCAACAAGTTTTTAGTTGTTGTTTACGTGTCTTTCGAGATGAATAAATAGAAAACTCAATAAGGAAATAAAATACAATCGATTATCTACCCAAAATGAAATAAAGTCCCAAAGACCTATGATGGTAATAAATATGGTTAACCCGATTAGCATAACAAAAGCATAATGGTACACATTGTCCTTTTAATTCTTCCATGGATCTAACACCTTTTTTGGATTGGATTGGAGGAAAGCGATTGGAGAAAAGCGAAGCCGATAACAGCGTGAACCGAGATCAGCTTTAACGCACCACACAAGCATGCTAAAAGGGTAACACGCCAAAGTATGTGTCGCTCGGAAAAAAGTTACTTAGACTCTTTGAAAAAAATGAGTTACAACACCAAGAGTCGGCTCTTTGTCAGATAGGAAGAGAAAGCACCAAGAGGAAACAACATAGCCATGAGCTATGGTGTTGGAACATCATCCGCTAGCGGGCGATGGCTGGCTAACCCTTTACCGGTTTCGGCTAGAGCCAAATCTAGCCTCATCAGGAGGGATGAACAAGTTCCGAGATGACTGGTAAGTTAGAATACTATCTAATAAATACCGAAGTGTTACCCTTCAACTCCCGGTACGTTTACTCCGTCCTACCTCGTAATCTAGTAGTACCTCCGGTAGCCCATAAGTTCATTCCACAGAAATCCTTCGAGGATTTGAGTCCTATTTGTCGTTTTCGTCACCGCAGGCCTGATGTTTCCTGAAAATTATTTCTACAAGTGGCGGGGAGAGACAGGCTAGTTCTACACTGCAGTATCTCCAAAAACTATTTTCGGTAGTTCTGCAAACAAAAACGTTATAGCTGATCCTCAGTAAGTCCAAAAAAGAAATCCTAGCTCTATATTTCGGTAGTTCTGAAAAACAAAAACGTTATCACTGATCCTCAATAAGTTCAAAAGAAAGACATCCTAGCTCTATATTTCTGCATCTCTGAGAACTTTTCCGGTAGTCCGTGAGCGCAACAACGTTTCAACTGGGCCTGAGCACATCCCAATAAATCTGAGTCTAATTTGTTGTTTTGTTCCCCGTTCCAAAGCCAGTTAATCCTACGCTATTGAAAAAGGAAACCTCATATATATTTGCATATAGCGTGAATCTGAAAATCTATATGATTAACCTTGAAAACTTGGAATTACCAGCTGCAAAATTTCTTACCCCAAGTGTCCCAAGTCGGAGCTCGTCTCCGAATGAATTTACTCAAGCACTCGTCAAAAACTTTCCCTGGGTAATCTTGCAGGCGCAGAAGTCTTTTCAGGGATAGTAATCCTAGTCCAGTTAATTTGACGTCTGAGGTCATCCGATACAATCTGTGCAGGCAGCATGTTATTACCGCTTTCTTCTGAGGAACAACTGAGTAAGAGTTAAAATCCTGGATCGTCCGGAAGGTAAGTTTGCCGTTTTCCCATATTTCTTTGAAGTTTCTCTGGATTAACTGGGTCGTTACTTTCTTCCATGTCTCAATTTTAATCCTTGTTCCCAAGAAATCCCATTTTCCTCTTCCCTCGTCCGTACATTCCAAAGTGAGAGCCTTGTCATAGGCCGTTTGGAAAAGGTCTAGAATCTTCCTCGCCTTGTAATTTCCCTTTCTTTCATCACACCAAACAAAGAGTGATACGTCATCCATGAGACGTATCCCCTTTACCAACTTCTTATCCGTACCCAGGCTTGATAGGAATTTAAACTCGTTGAAAGCGCAGAGGATACATGCCAAAGGGGGGCTTGTACGTTTCCCCATGGGGATACCTGTTTTTTGCCTGATTATTCTCTCTGCTTCCATGACATAGGTGTTACAAAGTTCAAAGCAGATCATGTGACGAATCTCCTTAAAACAGATGGTTGGCCAACTGTCAGCCTCATTCTTCAAGGAGAATGTTGCCCCTTTGCCCCTTCTTTTTACTATCAGTTTGTTCTTCTCTTTCGTCTTGTAGAACTGCAGTAGCCAGTCGAGAGCTTCCATGATAGAATCATGAGGTAGTCTGCTAAAAATTTCTTTGATATCGAACGAAGCGCAGAGCAGGTTACCTATTTTCTTTTCAGCCCAGTTATTAACTTCTGTTATCCGTTTTGTTAACAGATCAGTTGATTTCAGGTTAAAGTGCAGACTCTTTGGTAGAAGAAACAGAAGGTGATTGAGTGCGCGGGCTACCCCACTTCCAGCCATTCTAGATGGTTCATTTAAAGATGGGCTGATCGACCAGAATTTCGACAGGTCTTTATTTTTGGGAATTATATAGGCACACCCACATCTTCCCAATCCATCCCATTTTCCGATTCTTGTTAATCCTTCTTTTTTATATTCCTTTTCACATTTTACCAGAATCTCTGCTTCTGATCTCCATTCGACTTGAAAACTGTTATTTCCCCAGAAAATATTTTTTATTCCCTTCGCGTAGATTTCAGGACACATAATAACTGTTTCTGCTGGATTCTTATCCACCGCCGTCAACACAAAGTGATTTCTCAATTGTTTCAGATAATTTAGAGAGCTAGGGTCGAAGTTTCTCTCGAGTGATGATGTTTTCAAACAATCTCCCGCTTTATCCCTTGATATAGGTGTGTTTACTCCTATTTTTATCAAAGCATCGTTAATTTCCGTCAAAAACCTTGTTTTTCTCCTAGTCTGATCGGGAAAGGTGACGTTTCTAGCATTTCTAAGAAATCGATCTACGCTTTCCAAATTGCTAACTCTACATATCACGTGTCCCCCTTCAGTCGGGAGGTTGAATTCTACACAATTGCAGACTCCCACCGGGATCTGCGCAACAGTCCGGTGGTTATGAAGAATCTCAGCAACTGTTCTGTTTTTTCTCCAGACAGTTCTGAGTTTCTTACACTTGAAAGTAGCTTCAGCTAGCGGAAGGAGATCGAGTAGATGATTAGTTACGACTTTTTTTATCCCTTTCTTTCGTAGACCGTCATCATATGTAATCGCTACACAGTGTTTTCTACGTGTATTAAAACCAAATTTCTTCCATAACATCCCCCCCGGTACATCTCTCATATTACTTCGACAGATAGCTTTAGTACAAAGATCTGTTGTCATGAATAATTCAAGTAGGTCTTCCAATTTTCATTTATATAGCTTCTTTTTAGCCCATGGGTTCTTCAAAATTTTATATAGAGTATTTTTCAACTTTTTGTTTTGCTTAGATATCGTTCCACCTTTTAGTTGGTGAATTTCAATATTTTCTCCATCTTCAAGTATATTCTTCAATTCATTCAGAGGTAAGACATTAGCATTTATTGAGAAGGTGCTGAGTCCGATTTCCCGAATTACCGCCTTCCATTCAGAAACCCAAATCTTTCCTCCAGACGAAGAGATTTCTTTGTTTCCTTCTAACGTCGTCCTACAAATATTGATGAAGTTACTAGATATGAAATTTTCAGTTTTAAAAACGATAGGCCTTTCATCCCGGAAAATCTGACATCTGACTTTCTTCCGTTCTTTCCTGCCTTTACGGTTTTTCTTCCCAGAAACCCATTTTCGATAGGAGGAATTAAGTGTAGGAGACCACCTTTTAATGAGGACTTTCTCCAGATTGACTAGGTCATAAGTTGGGACGAAGGCAATCGGGAGGGCAACATAGTTTTTAATTCCTCGGTTCTGTAACCAACTGTAGAGTTTAGAATTAATAGTAAATAGAGAGTTATTAGTACGGTAATAGTGTTCGTTCCATCTTTCCGAGAGTGATCGTGAGGTTTGCCCTATATATGATGCGCGACATCCTGGGTTAAGTAGCACATAAACACAAGAATTCGGGTTATCCCATTTATCCCGATCCTGATTAATAAAATATACCCAGCTTTCGAAGAATTTTGTACCTGTTTAACTCACCTTGACATACAAGAATAACGATGCATAATCTCAGGACTTTCTTAATATCTTGTCTAAGTTGTTTCGTATCAACGGCTGCCCTACTAGTTAGTTGGTGTCGCAAGTCGAGATAGAAATGAAGGTCACTCCACACGTCAGTCTTCGGACGGATCGATGTTGTCGATCTGGTTGTTTGGTGTTCTTAGGGCTCGAATGGCGCTTGATGGTTCTCGGATCACAATTCCACCCTGCCGAGGTGTGCGAGGTTTCTTGAAAAAATACATACCCTGATTTCCACCAGCTCATCAGTGGCTTCAGGTCTTCCTCGGAAAGCCATTTTTCTGCTTCCCTGCACATATCTTGTATCGTATGCACACTCTTCCTTGCCAAGAATTTTCGAACCTGTTTCCTGAAAGCGACTTCCGTCTTACTATCTTCATCCACAGGAGCGCCCTCCCATAGAGCTGATTCACTGATAGGGAATCCTTTCCCTTCCCTTCGAGTTCTCCCTCTTCCTTTCTCGGTTTCCCCCACATCGCATTCTTCCATAATTCTCGTTGGTGGTTCTTCGTTTGTTGATGGTCGTCCGATCTTGGCTGGTGTTCCGGCCGGGCTGGCTTGTCCTCTGGAAGTCTGCCCCGCTGGCCTCTTCCGTTTCTCTAATCTGTCTTCTTGTATCTCTTCCTCGTCTTCCTCGGAGTCTGAAGGTGCGGGCGATGGTGTGGTCTGTTTGGCCTTAGCTTTCACAGCCTTCTCGGATATCATTACCTTCTTCAATCTTGTCTCCAATCTTCTCTCGAATTCTTCCTCCAAAACCTCCTTTTGTTTTGCGAGCATTTTTTCAAACTACCAATTCCTTTTCGCCTCCTTTAACTCTTGTGCCTTCTTTTTCTCTAACGTCAGTCCATTCACTTCTTCTCTCGCTGTTTCTTCTTCCTCTGCTTTTTTTTTCCTTTCATCCTCCTCCTTCTTCCGTTTTCTCTCCTCCTCTTCTTTTTCCATTTGCCTCTGTACGAATGTTGCCATGCTCTTGAGCGAATCTTCTAGATCTTTACTAAGTATTGTTTTTACTGGAGCTTCTGCACAGGCGTTTGAACTACTTGACGTCTCATTCATGTGCGGCACTTGGTAGTTAGTCTGCTGCGGCGTTTGGTGATTTAGTTGTTGTCCTTGGAAGTACTGTCGTTGATTATTGCATTCTCGCACGATATGTCTGAACTGTCCGAAGTTGTAGCATTTAGGTCCTCTTCGTTGACCTCCTCCTCCATTGTTTCATCCTCCTCCGTTGTTTCCTCCTCCTCCATTGTTGTTCCAATTTCCTCCGTTGTTCCAGTTACCTCCATTTCCGTTACTACCTCCCCCGTTACTCCAGTTTCCTCCGTTTCCACTATTCCAATTTCCTCCGTTCCCGTTATTCCATCCTCCTCCATTTTCGTTCCATCCTCCTTGACCTCCCTGTCCCCCTTGTCCTCCGTTCCATCCTCCCCCACCTCCTCCTTGAGGTGGTCCAAGCGGTCCTGTTCCAAAACCGAAACCGCCGTTTCCATTCATCCTACCTCTACCTTTTCTATCGTTTCTCTCGTAGGAAATTTAAACGAATCTCCCCTTTGTATCCTCTGGCGATAAGCGCTTCGCAGTGGTGATGGTCTAAGTGGTCAGCTAGCTAGTTTTCTAGTGCTTCAGGGCCACCAAACCAGGTGATCGCCTCCTGGCTGGTTGCCACTATCGTTACCGATTGGAGGAAAGCAAAGCCGATAACAGCGTGAACCGAGATCAGCTTTCACGCATCACACAAGCATGCTAAAAGGATAACACGCCAAAGTATGTGTCGCTCAGAAAAAGTTACTCTGATTCTTAAAAAAAATGAGTTACAACACCAAGAGTCGGTTCTTCTTCAAATAGGAAAAGAAAGCACCAAGAGGAAACACCATAGCCATGAGCTATGGTGTTGGAACATCGTCCGCTCGCAGGCGATGGCTGGCTAACCCTCTACCGATTTCGGCTAGAGCCAAATCTAGCCTCATCAGGAGGGATGAACAAGTTCCGAGATAACTGGTAAGTTGGAATACTATCTAATAAATACCGAAGTGTTACCCTTCTACTCCCGGTACGTTTACTCTTTCTACCTCGTAATCTAGTAGTACCTCCGGTAGGCCGTAAGTTCAAATGTGTTTCTCACAAAAAGAAAACAAAAAAAACAGATAAAATCCTCCAAGGATATTCCACAGAAATCCTTTAAGGATTTGAGTCTTATTTGTCGTTTTCGTCACCGCAGGCCTGATGTTTCCCGAAAATTATTTCTACAGGTGGCAGGGAGAGACAGGCTAGTTCTACACTGCAGTATCTCCAAAAAATATTTTCGGTAGTTCAGCAAACAAAAACGTTATATATGATCCTCAGTAAGTCCAAAAAAGAAATCCTAGCTCTATATTTCGGTAGTTCTGAAAAACAAAAGCGTTATCACTGATCCTCAGTAAGTCCAAAAAAAAGACATCCTAGCTCTATATTTCTGCATCTCTGAGAACTTTCCCGGTAGTCCGTGAGCGCAACAACGTTTCAACTGGTACTGAGCACATCCCAATAAATCTTTCGAAATCTGAGTCTAATTTGTCGTTCTGTTCCCCGTTCCAAAGCCAGTTGGTCCTACGCTATTGAAAAAGGAAACCTCAGATATATTTGCAGATAGCGTGAAACTGAAAATCTATATGATTAACCTTCAAAAAATTTATGGAATTACCAGCCGCAAAATTTCTTACCCAAAGTGTCCCAAGTCGGAGCTCGTCTCCGAATGAATTTACTCAGGCACTCGTCAAAAACTTTCCCTGGGTAATCTTGCAGGTGCAGAAGCCTTTTCAGGGATAGTAATCCTAGTCCAGTTAATTTGACGTCTGAGGTCATCCGATACAGTCTGTGCAGGTAGCATGTTATTACCGCCTTCTTCTGAGGAACAACTGAGTAAGAGTTAAAATCCTAGTCCAATTAATTTGATGTGGATTCTAACACTCTTGCCATAACGCCATCACCTAGGGCATACTCACACAATGATTTTGAGCTACGTAACTACCTTGTATCACGTCAAGAGGGGTGTTGTTGTTTTTTTTTGCCTGCAAGTTGGTTGTTTTTTGAAAGTCTGGCCGTGTTTTTTATTTTTTTTCAACAGAGTACCAGTAAAGAAAAACACAGAACCCATGCTCAATAAAACTCGGTGCACCGTGAAAATCGGAATCGGCAGAAACAGGTTTAGAGGTAGTTGTGGTTTAAACCACCAGTACCTCCCCCAACTATCAAGTCGGAGGTTCGGGCAACCGGTAGCCTGACCATTGTCAAGCCTCACACTCAATTGCTGGGGAAAAAAAAGAAAAAAAAAAACATTCTGCGGAAAAAAAAAAAAAAAAAAAA